TTAATAAGTTTGACATAAAACGTTATGTTTAGTAGAAATAATTAAATATATTAATAATATATATTATTATATACTAAATAATAATATTTATTTGCCAAAATATGACTATCAAATAAACACAATTTAATAGCTTCAACAAGAGCATTAAAATTGATTTCTTCTGAATCAATTGACTTTTTTCCACTTGACATGCCCAAAAATACTAGAAAAGAAATGAAAACAACATTTAAATAGTATGCCTGCAAAGTCGTATTTTTTATGCTGCCCAGATGGGTGTTGACACCGTCTCACAACTGGTGATATGCTGCGTCTCACACCCAGAAATTGGCGCTATTTTGAAAAAGGAAAATTAAATTATTTTCAACCGTAGATTGGAACAATGCAATATTGCATCACAAAATATAAGGAAAACACTAAAAGAAAATGCATTACATTTACCTTTTCCAATTAATTAACTTGGAAAAAAGTACTTTACATTTATTGAAAAAACGCTTTTTAGTCGATTATCACACACAGTGTTGGTATTTAACAAAAACAGTTTATATATCCGCTTCGGCGTACACGAAAAAGTTGGCTCATATAAAAAGAAATGTTTTTATATAAACCAATCGGCTTTTTAATATTGCATGTTAAAAAAAATTGACTGTCTCACAACTGGAGACTCTCCCCTATTATTTATTTCTATTATTATTATCTCTATGAGGAAGCAAAGTGTTCATGAAATGAACACAACGAGATTTATGAAAAAAATCGTACAACTTAGCAGCGGTTTTTTTATTTATATATAAAAAAAAATTCAAATCAATCTCTAATGTTTAATTTAGTAAAAACCAAATCCAATTAATATGTTAATTCCTTTTTTCGACAGAAGTAGCTGGGATAATTTCTCTCACGATGTTCATTAGTTCTCTATTAACATGAGTCAAAGTAATAACGTCTTTTCTTAATTTATCTGTAAGGTCGCACAAGGAAGCAGTCGTGTTCCAATGATCTTTGTCGATATCAGAATTTATTTCTACAGTTTCTTCTAATTTACTGAGTCTGTTACACAGTTTAACAATAATATCGTCCTTAGGGATTAACATTGTGAGTGAAACTGACAAAGGTTATTTTAAAAGAAACAAATGAGAGAAAAGAAGAAGAAAAAAATTAACGAATAGTTCAACGGGTAAAGGCAAAGTCGATTTCGTCAATAATGGCTCTTTTTCACTCTGGCAATAGTGGCCCAATATTGGTTGCCAATGTTTGACCAAGAAAAAACTGTTGGCAGCCAATATTGGTCCATTATTTAGCCAATGGTGAGCATTGGCAATTTCCCATTGGGCAGTAATAATTAATTTTTTACTTAATAAGTAAATTTCTTAAATTTTGATTATGAAATTATTAAAAAAAATTATATTTCAAAACAAAAGTATAAACAAAAGACAACTTCAGTGTGCGAGGGACAGAAAAAGTGAATGAATGAATAATCTTTCAGATTATTATAGTTAATTAATTAATACGTCGGTGACTATCTTGAAAAATTTCTCAATTTACAGTTCTTCTATAATTTTTACAAAATGCATGTTTACCTTTACGTACTGAATTAATCCATCCCTCGCTTCTATCCTCGATGGTCTCCAGTGCTTTTTATTATTGCAAAATACCGTCCTTATACTGAATAAAGAGTGCAGCAATCTTATGATTTTTGCTTTCCTTCCATCTGAATAAAATGTTACGTAAAAATACAAATAAATAATTTAAAATATAATAATTAAGAAAAATTACCAGATGTGAAGCAATCATCAATTGATTCTTTTTCAACTACTGTCACTTTTGACTTAACAAAGCTGCTTAATATTGGCCACTCTACAAAAAGGTTTGCAGTAGACTGTGGATATATATTATCAAAATCCGCTTCTAACTAAAGGCAATTGATAATAATAAAGTGTAATATTTAATATTTTATAAAAATTTGTTTTATAAATTATAGTGAACTTACTAACTCAAATCCATCGCTTAATTTAAGAGCCTTAAATTGCTCCATATAATCATGGACAGTTATGTTACTTTGTTTTAAATATGTTAGTCTTGCAAGACTAGTTGACTGCCATAATGTAATGACTTGAGTAACAGATGGGGCGTTATTTTTGAGCCATTCTATGGCGTCTTTCGTTTCTTCGGATTCAGCAAATTCTAAATTTTTTAAAAAATATTTATCTTTAAAAGTATTCTTTTAAACAAGAAATTGTTTTATTGCAAAAAATGATATAAATAAACATGAAAATTTACCTGTTGAATCAAGAGATGCAGGTTGAATGGAAGATTTTAAAATGACTCCACATTTCAAAAGTTTACGCCTTACATTATAATAACGTTGTAAAAGGATTCCTCTTCCAGATGTATTTCTTCTAGACTTTTCTCTTAAACCACTCCACACTTCCTAATAATCAAATTATTTGCATTGAATTCTATAAATTATATAAAAATGAAATGGAAACAATATATTAAAATATAATTTAATGCAAAATAAACCTCTATTAACAAAAAATTTTAATTCTTCAATGCAAAAAATTAGCTATTTTCAATTCACTTAAATTTAAACTGTCTTAATTCAAGAAAAGAATAATTTTTTAAAGAAATTATTTGACATTATTTACATCTATTGTTTTCATTTTAAGTATTTGTTTTTCTAATAATATTTTTCATAAAGCATTATAAAAATTTATCATAAAAATATTTTTTTTGAAGATTTAGAGATTATTATTAAAAATATTATACCTTAATTTCACCAGGAAACATTTCAAGAAGGCTATATGTCCAAAAATGTATTCTTTCGTCAGTAAATCTAGAAATAAGATTTTAATAATTGGCATAAATATTACAAATATTAAAAGGAATAACTTGTAAAATATTAATACCTAAGTAATTATTACTTTTTGTTAACATTCATTGCCAACTCCTCTCTGATTATTTCGTCCGCATGTTTTTGTCTATTTAAATCAGTAAATTTTTCTTCTGTTTTCCATGTTGAAATATTTAAAGACACACATATGTTTATTTAACTTATATGTATAGACGCGATTAATTAATACACTAATACACAACTGCACTTACGACAACGAATTTCACTGAAAGCATACATCTTTGTTTCCTTATATATTGAATGATAAAAATTTACAGCACTTACGAGAAAGCAGTTTACTTTTAACAACTTATTATAAGACATAGTTCTTGGGACAGGAATAAATGCAAAATTTATTAATTTATAATGGTCAATTTCTGAGATAACAAACGACCTACGTTTCACTTTATATTTAATTATTGTAGATAATATCCAAATTTATTTTACATACGCGAAACATAGTCACTGTCAATGATCGGATGGCATCGGCTCATTTACGGAGATTGACGAAGTTAGCAACCAATAAAAATGCAGGCGCCATATGACTGCACTCGCTAGCTACACTTGTTCACCAAAAATTACTACAGTGGATAGTAGGTTTTAGTGGAAAATGTTTTCATTTGTCAGATTTTGTCTAATTAAATTAGAGAAAACTATAATCAATTTTTGCTACATTTACAACTCTTACACAAAATATTAAAACTTGCTATTTCAATGTAGCAAATTTATCTATTTCTTTTGTAAATTTATCTAATTCTGTAGTACATTATGCTAAAAGTCCCCTTATTTCCGGTCATTGCAACCATTTTTAGTAATTGTTACATATGTGGGTCTCTCCGTGTACATAGTGAGACCCCCAGATCAGAACTTTTTAGTTTTTTTGTGTGGCTGTGTTATTTATGAACATTTATTGTTACAAAAGCTTTTGTGTTAAATAATAATGTTATTTATTAATAATTGAACATATTTGTTATTGATAAATAATTTATTTATTTAATTAAAAAATAAAGATGAGGGCCAACGAGGGCACACTCGTGGATCGCCCATGAGGGCGCCCTCAACGATCAGCATGTCGTTTCGATGAGGTGCCTCGTCTGGATCACCCACATGGGCCCCTCATGGTTGTGGGTGATCCATGAGGTCCCCCTTTTGGGGGACAACACCTATTTTCCACACGGGTAAATAAAACTTTTATAAAATTAAAATTATGTAAAATAATAATTAGAGGATTTAAATTTATGTTATTTAAAAAAATATAAATCAATAATTATTTCAAATAATAATTAGATTTTATAAAAATTATGAGAAGTAAATATTATATTTTTAACAATTATATTACTTTCAATTTCGAAAGTTTGAAATTATACTGATTTATAAATCAGATTTCATATAAATTATAAAAAATAGAATTATTCTAATAAACTTCTATTCTTAATATCGTAATAATGTTAACTTTACATTATAGACACCTACCTTTCAAGTAAATGATGATTATAAAGTTTGAAATTCCGTTATTACAATTATGTGAATGATAATTGAGGGTCCCTATCAAAGAACCGGTTATAAGTTTTTGAGACTCAAAATTCTCGACCTCTAAATAAAAAAAGGATTTAAAATTTTAATTTCTTGAAAACATTTTGTATTGGTATAAAGATTACCCAAATGTTTCTCAAAAAATTGGGATTAAAAACAATTTAATTTTTTATTTACAGGGCAATGATTTTAAGCTTAAAAAACTTATAACCGGTTCTTTGATAGGGACCCTCAATTTGGGACAGTTATTCGCCCCGAACGAACTAACAAGGGTGATAAGGGAGCGTGATTTGGGTGTACTATTTATAAATTTTTCGTTTATTGATCAGACATTATTTCTAGAGCTTTGAAAACGTTAAAAAAATTATAACATTCTTTTAACACATAATAATTAATTATGATATTTCTAAAAATTAATTTTTTAACTCTACACAGAAAAAACATTTAAACAAATAATTTTAAAAATTTCTTTTAACATTTAACGTAAATTTCTATGGATAATTTACAAATTTATAAAATTCTTTTAAGTTTATTGGTTAAAATTTGAGGGTATAAAGAACTGAAATAAAAATGAAAATAATAATTAATTATAAAAGAGAAGTTTATTACTATTCATGAGGTGGTACGTGGAACATTTATAAAGTTTCTGACTACGGCAAGATCTGAGGATCGTAGTAATGTCGCATAATATTATATACAAATATGAATCATATTCTGCTATTAATGCCTATTGATAATTAACATGATAAAAATTAAAACTAATTAAATTAATTAAACTAAATTATCCAATAAGTTGTACGAATTACAAACTATGATATATGTATGTATTGTTTTAAAATTTAAATAGACCGAGTCAATTTTTTCGATTTTTTAATACTCATATTTGTAGTAAATCAGCGATATTTACTAAAATGTGAGATTCTACGAGAAGGTGCATATCACACTGAAAGTTTAATACCTTTGTCTTTAACCCTTATTTCTTCCATTAATATAATTTACATACAATTTCTTAAACCTCATACACATGATAATAATAAAAGTAAGTAGTGTTGAAAAACGCTATCAACAGTTTTCTTTGTTTTTGACAAAAGTTAAGCAGTAATAAGCGTATAAATTGCCTAGAATTTGTACAAACAAAATTTCACATCTTCTTTTTAATAAAAATCCCTTTTTAATCTTAAAAAGACAGTAAAATAATTGTATAGCGGAAGTTGAATGAAATCAATAAATAAAGAATGAACATGAATGGTTGACACGAAAAAGCGAGAAACTTATAATTTCTTAAATATATTTTCACCCCTTAGTAAAAGCAAAAGTCTTTGAAATAAATATATTATGTTTAAGTCATTACTGATAAAAATTCACTAATTTTCTAAGATAAAAAAATATTCTTGATTTTTTTCATTCAAAAAAAACATCTAAACTTATAAATATCAGGTAAAGCAATCGTTGCACAAGGCGAACTGTTATCTTTTCGCAATTAATATTTTACATGTTGAATTGTTATTAGTCAACGCAGTGAAAACAAAATTTATTTAAATTTCACTTTTTTAGAAATTGTGCACAATGAACTATTTTACTAAATTTGAATTATTTCTTTATGAAGATGACGGATGCTCAAAAATAAATACTGTATACTAAAGTGTTTTCTATTATGAAAAGTCTTTATCGTTCGAGTGATTTTAATAATAAGATAAACGAAGATATTTGTTCAATTTTTATTACATATGTTTTATTTTCTGACGAATTTTACTTTATTCTCTGACTGTTACTAATTTGACTCTTTGAAATGAAAATCAGTGGATTTCGAAACGTTAGAGTAACATTAAAGAATATCTTCGTTTATCTTATCAGTGTTTTTTTATATTTGAATCATTAAGATATTAACATAGACACATCCATTTTTTAATATTGTTTCAATTGAAGAAATTTTTCTTTAATTTATTTCATACACAAAAAATTATAGTGTCACATTTTAGCAGAGAAAGAGAATATATTTTCCTTTATATATTCTATTTATTTTTAGAATAATAATATTACTTTTAGCTAACTTATACTATTCACGATGAATTGATGCTTAAACGCAATTGAGCAAAAGTCTATAAAAAATGATGCGGAACACAGCTAAATAGACATTTTACGCTAAGTAATGTTTAATTAGCAGAATTAAATAATAATTTATTTATTTGATGATATAAACTTTTCTCAAAATTTGCTCTTTACGAGCATTTGCAAGTTTAAATGTCTATTTTTCACTGGTCCAGAAAGAAGTTAATACTTTAAATAAAACAGTAGTACAAAATGGCACCCTGAGTCGAAGAAACACGGTCGACAGTATATAAGAAACAAACTATTTTCATTGTCAATGTGACGTGTTTAAATCTTTAAAAAATTATTTGATTATTCCTCAAAGCAATTTATCTTTAATCAATAAAACTTTATTGATGGAAATGTCGTATTTAAACAAAACCGTTGTCTTTTAAAATTATTTTGAAAAGAAATGAAGTCGTAATACGTTTTGAAGGAAAATAATGTATTTTTAAAATACTAACGTCTATTTAGCGAAAATATTTAAAATCACGAGTGAGAAGTTTTCGTAACATCCTTTTTAATAGAAGATACTGTAGGTGAAATATTCCCCTTAAAAGAGTTATTTTTCAGCTCAACATGCTTTTGGGCAATTGTTGAAAATTTTCTGGGTGGTTTCGTTAGCTGTACACTAGAAGCTCCACTCGTGGAATATTTATTTTTGCTCGACGATGCTCCATTAATATTTCTCGTGGTGGAAGTCGATGAAGTTGTAGAAGTTGTTTCATTGGCATGCTTAGGCAAAACAAAGGCTTTTGTTTGTTTCAGTAAGTACCTGTCATTGCACAAAGCAGATATTAATGGTAAATCAAGATTTCGACTTTTCTCACGAAGAGTTCTTATGTCTAACATTCCATCATCTTTATTGTCATCGCGATTATCACTTTTAATTGTTCGAGAGGCTTTTTTTGGCGTTGTAGAGACCGTTGTTGGAACTGCCGGGAGCGGTTGACATTTTTCCAGATTCTGTGACAAACAATTTCAATAAGAAAATTAGAATTATTTCAAAAAATCGCTGCCAATTTGTGTTCATTTCATGAACACTTTACTTCTTCATAAAGATGATAATAATAAAAAAATATACACGGAAAAAAATTAATCTCTAAACTTGAAATAATATTAATTTGAAGTCCAATGAAATATAATTCCTTTCTTAAAAAAGACATGGAGTGGAAAGGTCGAATGTATCGAAAAGTATCGAAGTAAAGAATGGGCAATGAGAACGTAAAATCTTAATAGAAGGGTGTTTTTAAAATTGATTGTACATGTGAAGGTGGCGCTGCAGTCGTATATTAATTAAAAAGAGCGCGAATATATAAATTTTATTTTTGTTAAGAGAAAGTACTCAACATAAATCTTATTTTGCATTGTCAAAAAAAACGTCAACATTTCAAATATAAATAAGCAAATTATTAACTGAAAAAATTTGAATATTATTATTAATGAAATAATTAACTTGGACAATGGACATATATAAAAACTAGCACCGTAGACGGCCGCTTGCGGCCGTCGGAGGAACTAGTGTATCTAAATTAAACATTATAGTCACAATTACTGTGATAAGTTGTGTTTGATTCTGTCAAACTTTATACCAGAAAACGCCATAAATTCACATCTCTGATTTAGAGATTTGTTAATTTCACAACTTTTTTTATATGAATTAGGTACATTGTGTTTTAAGTTAATCAGTGACAAAAAAGATTTAAACCATTTTAATTAATTAAGTATTAATTTTATTTTCAAATATCCAAATAAAAGCGAAGGTCTGTGAAGGAAGGTCTGTGAAATTTTAAGGTTACAATTGTCGCCCGACAAAATACGGCACTGACTGATTTAAATGACGTGAAATAGGTAAATAAACATTTTTCAACCACTTTTTCTCTAAACGCAGACACTTTTTACAAAATAGGCCAACATACAATGGGTAAGAATCTTCTTAATAACCTAAATTCAAAAGATTGTTTAAATTCATGCAGAAACGCGGTTGTCAAGCGGTTGTAAAATGTAAAATTGGAAATGATTGGAAAGTAATGTAATGACAGACAACAAGAAGCGGATTACTGCCAGTCGCCAGAAGAGGGCAGAAGCATGCAGAGAGCACAATGGTCCAGCTGTTATATTCTTAGCATTACATCACTTTCCAATTTTACATTTTACAACTGCGTTTCTGCATGAATTTAAACCATCTTTTGAATTTAGGTAATTAAGAAGATTCCTACTCGTTGTATGTTGGCCTATTTTGTAAAAAGTGTCTGTGTTTAGAGAAAAAGTGGTTGAAAAATGTTTATTTACCTATTTCACGTCATTTAAATCAGTCAGTGTCGTATTTTGTCGGGCGATAATTGTAACCTACAAATTTTACAGACCTTCCAACGCCGTTAAAACAAAAAAATGAAATAAAAATATAACATTCGTATTGTGTTTTAAAAATATCCAACTACTTTTTTATACTTGTCAATGTATAGTTCATACAGGGAAAACAATATAAATATTTTGTGAATAATTCTCACTCTAAATTGTAATAAATTATAAATTCTTATTACATCGAGTTATTAAAAAAATAAGAATTATATAAATATACGACTAAAATTTTTAATATTGTTTATTCAAATAATATATTAGATTTGAATTTATTCAAGTAAGTTGATAGTTTAGAACATATGTTCCATGTCATAAAATTTGAGATTCCTAATATCATTTTTAGGCATAAAAAATACGTGCTCTTCACAATACTAATATTCGGATTAGATATATAATACCAAATTTCAGTTTTAGTGATCTCCTTACATCTTACGTCCGATTCCAGTGATAGTTTATGCCTAAATCTCAGATTTAATCTCTAATTTAGAGATTAATTTTTTTCCGTGTAGAAATAACTTTTCATAAATAGAGTAAAAAATAATTAAATTTTGGGCCATGAATGTATTTTTAAACGCTCTATAAGATGGTTATAACAGCTTAATAGTTAGAGAAAAAAGTTGAAAAAATGATATTTTCCACAATTTTTAGTTTTTAAAATACCAACAATTTTCTAATTTCTGATCAAATTTCAATTAATTTGACCGAAAGTTTTTTTCAGTGTATTTTTTGCGGGGTCCTTTCATGAAAATTTTGATGATTTTTAGATACTTGAGTAACTTCTACTATTTTTTTCCACGTCAAGCAGTAAAAAAAGTTTTGGTTTTAATTTTTTTATTTATAGTCCATTTCATTACGAAAATTTCAAACCCTTGGGGACCTCGATTGGATTTAAAATGACAATTCTACACTAGATTTAGTGAACGAAACTACGTTTTTCAATTTTAGTATCCCTTCAACATTTACAGCAAAAATTCAAACAATAAATTTATTTAAGCGCTAAAGTTACTAAGAAGGAGTTTACACCGAAGCCTCCGCGCGCATAAACGGATATACCTCCAGGAGCATATATTTGCGCCTGCGCGAACACGTGGTCAAGGCAAACTCTTTCACAACACAGCTGCAGGCAAACACTTTGCGCAGACGCAAGTATATCCTCATGGAGGCATATCCGTTTATGCTCGCGGAGGCTTATATTTAAGGCTTACGGTGTAAACTCCTTCTAAAATCACTAATCAAGGGTTTCTGGAGTCGCTGATTTCTGAGGAGTTTTTAGGGTAGCTGATTACGAATCTGATGTCAGATTTCAAAAATTCAAATAGGTGGATTCAATAGGTGCGATTTCAATCGTCTTTTAGAAAACTCGTCAATCATATTGAATCCACCATTTTAAATTTTCGAAATCTGGCATCGGATTCGTAATTAACGACCCCGAAAACCCCAAGTAACGAATATGAGACGAATTTTATCGAATTTTAAAAACTTGCCCGCCATTTTAGATTCGACATTTTGAAATTTTAGACTCCACAAACCCTTCATTATTTATTTTAGTAGTTTTAGCGTTTAACTTAATTTTATGTTTGAATTTTTGCTGCAAATGTTGAAGGGATACTAAAATTACGAATCTGAAGTCAGAATAAAAAAATTAAAATAGCGGATTCAAAATGGATGACTTATTTTTTTATAATTGATCAAACCTGATTGAAATTTGTTACTTGGGGGTTTTTGAGGTCGCTAATTACGAATCCGAAGTCAGATTCTAATAATTTAAAAATTACTTTAAATTCGTAATCAGCGAAGCTAGAAACCTCCGAGTAACAAATTTCAATCAGATTTGAGTAATTTAAAAAAATTAGTCCGACATTTTGAATTTTTTTAATGTGACTTTAGATTCGTACTCAGTGACCTCAAAAACACTCGAATAACAAATTTCAATGAAATTTGAGTAATTTTGAAAAATTTTCTCATCTTACGTAAAATTAAAAAAATTGTTTGGCTGTTAAACGCTATTTTAAATTCAAAATTGTAGAAAAAATTAGCAATAGATATTTTTTAAGTATGACTATAAGGAATACGTTTTTCTTATTTTTTGTTCGATTTAAAAAGCGTTATAAAAGAGAAAAAAATTCTTACGAAAAAATTACATTCAAACATCGACTTTAAAAAAGTAGGTTTCAATGTCATTTTTTTGAAATTTTTTTTTTTTTTAGGGTATGGATGTTTTAAAACGTGAATTTTTTGAGCCAAATAGGTAACGTCTTACCAACAATTGTGTGTTTTGGGGGTGGAATTCCTTTTTTTAAAAATTAAAGGTTTATGCAAAGACATAAATACATTGTAGTAAGTCTTTAACGTCTTTACATTTTATAAAGTGGGACGATTTTCAGATTTTACACACAGATAATAATCTTGGAAAACGGTTGTTTGCAGAAATGGTTTTTATGAAGAAGTAGGAGGGTGACAAAAGTTTAAATAAAGTCACTGATTTGGATAATTTTGATAAATCTTATGAAATGATTTTAAATTTTATTTGTAATAACTAAATAAAACAAAAATTCTCATTCTGTCCCAGCTTAGAATCCCCGTCCAGGATCCTCAAAGGAACCCTAACAGCACAGGATTCGTTAGGGTTCCTTTGAGGATTCTGGACGGGGATTTTAAGCTGGGGTGATTCTCTATTTCTTATTATCTGTTTCTTATTTATATTTTCTATTGTTTTGTACCTTTAAGTGACATTGTGAGTAATAGTATAGCATTTGGATGTTAGTTTAAATTGTGCCTTCATCGGTGATGGTCAGTCCCCACATAGCACACCATATTTTGCGGGAAGCTAACGGGAAACTAACCATGTTAGCTTCTATAGTTAACATGGTTAGCTTCCCGTTAGCTTCCCTGGGCCTATAAATGTCCTACGCTTTTTAGTTTTCCGTGTTAGCTTGCAGAAAGTTATCTAAGAAACTTTTCTGGAAACAAGTAGAGAAAAGTTGGTGAAATATTAAATTGTTAGTTTTAGATAATTTTGCTTGGTTATCTTCTTTAAAACTATCTCTGGTAAGTATCTGTAAGCATTAGAAGGTAGTTTCTAATAAGCGTCATAAGGTAAGTAATATAATATAAATTGATATTATACAAATAATCATTTACGGAATTTCCGTAATTATCTATTTAATATGCACTTAAACTTATTTAATATTTCAGTTTATTTATAACTATAAAAATAGTATTTATAAATTTAATAAAAATATTTCTCTCTATAATTTATTTATTGCCGCGAACTGATTACTTATTTATTCCTCAATATCAATATTATATTATTGAAGAATAATTTTGAAAATAAATTTGGAGGGACTGGGGGTAGAACCCGGGTTCACAACGCAGAAAGAAACAACCTAACCAACTAACCTAATCAACCATGTGTAGGGAAGAATATTTCGGGTCCTTTTAAGCTTCAAGTGATCTCATTGGTTGGCGTCACTAATGGCGGGATAATTTAAAAAAGGATTCACAAACATATTTGAATTTTCTCATTACAATAAATAATTTAATTTCTAATATTATTTATTAATTAAATCTTCAAAAATAAGAATAAATAAATTATTAAAAATGAA